TTAACAATGTAATGTCATTTTAGCCCTAGTTCGCACACACTTGATAAGTTCGTGCACCAAAATAAGCGTTCTACAAGTTCATGCACTAGATTACACTCACCTCACAAGTTTATATACCCCCAATGCAATTTACTCTTAATTCCCTACCTAACCAAATATCTTCCCCGAAGGAAATGTGCTTACCTGATCCTAATTTCCATTCAGCCCCTAGGACAAATCATTTTCTGATACTTAAAATCCATCGCCAAAAGTGTGAAGCACCAGCTTCATTTGCCTGGAACACCCCACTATCTCCAACATACCTACTTGTTTCTCAAGATATCTAAGCATAAACTCTTTTCCCTAGATATCTAAGCATAAGTTTGTTATAATTTAGATGTTAAAAAATGAAGTTGTTTTTGGGCGAAGAGAGTAAGTATTTAGTGGGGATAGGAATTAAGTTAGCAATGGATTCTCATCACTAAGGGGACACTACTACACAAATAATTTTCATGTATAAGCACCTCAATAAGTTGCAGACAGATCACAAGTATCCGCGTCAGGAAAAGTCGTTCTCCTATTTTAGCTACGACTTCTTAAGAGACCCACCCGCGAAAATCTTTTTCATAGACTGCCCTCTTAGGGAGCAGTATAAAAAATAGAGCTATTTTTCTAGACGGGCCTCATAAGCGGCCGCACGAAAAAATATATTTTCACAAGCGGGCCTTTTAATGGCCCGTCCAGAAGCCTGAGTTACCTCCTCCGTTCCTCTTTAACATACACTTCAATTTTTTTCAACTTATCCCTTCTATCTCTCCTTATCTCCTCTCCTCTGCTCGTACTCCTAACTCTCTCAAACTCTCCTGGTCGGGAGAGTGGCGGTGGCCGGCATGAGCGCGGTGAAGGCGACATGGGCGTGCGATGTTGGGCGAGTGGCGACGGCCGTCTCCACATAGATCCAGCGGCGGTGGCTGTCCCCCTCCTGGATCCGGTGGCAGTGGCGGGAGATGAACGGTTGCGGCTACGGCGTGAGGAGCCCGGCGGCGGGAGGAGCACAACGGCTGCTGTGGCGGGAAGAGCCCAGTGGCAGAAGGAGCAAGGCAGCGGCAGCACCCGGCGGCAGTGTGTATCAGCCCTCCCTCCAGAACCGCGCAGCCCAGCCCTACCAACGGGTGGGCCCACTTACACATGCCACTCCACTTATATTTTTGTCCTTGCTTCATGTAAGAGGTTAACCCGGGAGTGATATGGTTGGAGGGAATAGGCCTTATAAGTTGGTTTCACCCTTGCTAAACTAAAAATTTGGTACTTAACATACGTACACTGCTCTCATGGACCATACAGGCCTTATCCTAAATTGGCCGGGATGTCACACACACACCTCCTCAAAGGACCCAACGTCCTCGTCGGTCCAACTCACCCATATAGCCAAAAAGGCATAAAGGCAAATGTCTAGGTACACACCCCATCTTAGCGCATGTCTATACATCCAGTGCTGGTGCCATATGATATGCCATTTACCTCACACAAAGCCCACATGCGCCATGCGCCATATGCCCGCACAATGACTCGTACGAGGGTTGGCTGTGATACCATTTGTAATAGCCCTCCCTCCAGGATCGTGTAGCCCAGCCCACTCGACAGGCAGACCTACTTACACTTTCGTCCTCGATTCGTGTAAAAGAGTTGACCTGAGAGTGATATAGATAGAGGGAAGAAGCCTTATAAATTGGTTTCAGCTTTGGGCCGGAATGTCACACGCGGCGGCGTGAGGAGCCCAGTGGCAGCAGCGGCGGACGGCAGCAGCAGGTGGCAGCAGCGGGAGGCGGATTGCGGCGGCAGTTGCGGGAGGACCCCGGCGGCGGACGACAGCGGTAGACACGCTCGATTTTTGTGGTTTTTTTCGGATTTTTGTTTTCGCGTGCGGTCGAAATATGCACCGCACATTTTTCGCGAGTGGATACGCCACCCGCATGGAAAAATTGGATTTTCGCAGACCCTTCCGAGCAGACAGGCCAAAGGTCCGTACACGAAAACCTTTTTTGGCCCGTCTAGAAAAAATATGTTTCTACTGATCGGATGTCCCCTTGTATATATTTTTCTTCCAAATTCAAACCAAATACTTTAAAAGATACCATTTGAAAAAAAAATGTCGTCGATATATAATGGGAGAGGGGTTACACGCATGGTCCATCCGTCGATGGAGACGTACGTACGTAGGAGGACAGGAAGCTAGGGCATCACCATCGCTGGCCAGCTGCCAGCTGCGGCACATCATGCATGATCAACATGCTTGGCCTTATATATTTCATTTGCATTTTCCTCATGGACACAGTACACTAGTAGTCATTAAGCCGTGAAACAATACTTATGCACGGGATAAATGCTACTCCATTATTTGACGTACAGGTACAAAAGCAAGACTTCAAGGGCATGCCCGATGATTCCCCTAGGATCCCTTTTTAAATCAACTGAGCTGTGACATACATATGATTTGTGATAATGTAAAGTATGACGGCGATGACACGGTTTCAATTTTGAAAAATTTCAATGGCATCCAGCCAATATCGTGAATAGTAATGATATTTATCGATTATATATTATTAAAACAGCTTTGAATGGAGGTATCATGTTCTCTGTGGGGCTAGAAATTTCCACATTAATCGAAGAAAAATAAAAGAAAAATCCAAGTAGGAATACAATTCAAAAATAATTGAAATTTGGAATTAAAAGTAAGCAATATTGAAAGAAGAGTTCATATAAGAACCCAATACGAGATTAATTAAAATTCAAAATAAAAATAAAATAAAATACAAAATTAGAAAAAAGAAAAAAGTTAAAGTAGAAATAAAATTTAAAAATAACTTAGATTCGGAATTTAAAACAAGAGTCCACATAATAACCCAATACGAGATTATTTAAAATTCAGAATAAAAATAAAATAATATAAAATACGAAATTAGAAAAAAAATAAAGAAGAGTTCAAGTACGAATACAATTTAAAAATAACTGTAATTTGGAATAAAAAATAGAATAAAATCTGAAATTAGAAATATAAAAAATAGAGTTCAAGTAGGAATACCATTTTGAAACAACAGAAACCGGAGAAGAAAATAAGAAATATAAAAAGAATAGTCCATATAGAACACAGTACGAGATCAATTAAAATCTGAAATAAAAAAAATTCTGAAATTAGAATATGAAAAATAAGATTTTAAATAGGAATACAATTTATAGATAAATAAATTGCTAATAGAAAATTAAAGACTATTGAAAGAAGAGACCATCTAGAACCCATGACGAGATTAGTTAAAATTCTGAATAAAAATAAAATAAATTCCAAAAATAGAAAAACAATGATAAGAGTTCAACTAGGAATATAATTTATAAAAAAAATATATCAGAATAAAAAATATGGAATTTTGGAAAAAAAATATTCATTTGGAACACATATGGAAGTAGCAACATACCTCTAAAGGAGTAGAGTGGTGATGGATGACGAGATATCAAAAAACTATTAACAAAATAACTAATAGAATTCCAATAACGATTAATTGGAGGGACGACGGACAGACTGTTAAGCAATACGATCTCATCGGTTGGCAGGACTTCCAAAAGGTAAAAAATTATCCCCGATGATAGTCGCATTCAATTTTAAAATCTCAATAACAATAAATAGGGGAGGCAGCGGACGAGCCATGGAGAAGTACAATTGCAAAGCCGATGATGGTTTGGCGGAACTTCTAGAAAGTAAAAGATGAATCCAAATGATAATTATGTTTGATTTTTAAATTCCTGATGACAATAAAGAGATGAGGCAGTGGATGGGTTGTAGAGGATTATAGTGGTAGCATTTCACGGGACTTCCAAGCAACATGCCTGAAAAAGAGTAGAGTGGTAATAATTGATGGCACATCTAAAAACTATTAACAAAACCCTAAATAAAATTGTAATGATAGTTAAAAGGAGGGATGACGGATAGACCATTAAGCAGCATGGTCTCGGCGGCTGGCGAGACTTCTAAAAAGTAAAAAATAAACCCCAACGATAGTCATGTTCAATTTTACAATCTCAGTGACAATAAAGAGAGGAGGTAGCGGGCGAGCCGTAGAGAAGTATAGTGGCAAAGCAGCTGACGGTTTAGCGAGACATCTAGAAAGTAAAAATTGAACCCAAACGATAATTCTGTTCGATTTTTAAAATCCCGATGACAATAAAGGGAAGAGGTAGCGGGTGGGCTTTAGAGTAGTATAGTGACAGTGTTTGATGAGACTTCTATGCATTATAAAAATGAAACCCAATGAGACAATAAACCCTAAAAACAATAAGGTCCAACTTTTAAAGGTTCCAAGGAGAATGAATAGAAGCAGTGGTAGGTCGAACACGGGAATGTAAAGGTTTGGTCTTTCAAAGTATTAAGACAACGAGATAACCATCCCAAAAGTGAAAACCCGGTAATTGATTTTGAAGCCAGCCATCTCTTCAAAGCAGTACAAGATGAATTTTGTTGCCACAATTTTGGTTGTCATCATTGGCAATGAAGAGGACTGTATCATCAACATATTGAACTCCTTCACTCCTGGAAGTGCCAATGCAGAAGGCATCACTAACAAGGTTACAAATGAGAGGGGAGAGACCCAAGTCCTAAATAAGTCAGTTCTTTCCCCCATTAATATTTATGCAAACTTTCCCTCCCATCACACATGTTTTAATCCAGCTAATCCACTTGTTTGGAAAACCCATTCTCACCATTACCTGTATCAGAAAGTCCCAGTTCACCTTGTCATAAGCTTTCTCAAAGTCTATTTTCATTATAATCCCTTTCAGCTTTTTGGTTCTCTTTTCGTGGAGCACCTCATGTATTATCACACACCCCTCCATGATGAACCTCCTAGGGATAAAGGCAGTTTATGTAGATTTTTTAATTAGTTAACATAAGATAAGATAAGATAAGATAAGATAGATAGATAGATAGATAGAATAGATAGATAAAGATAAACATAAAGATAGATTTTATCATCAAACTTATGGCAAACATAGAATCCCTTTTATTTAGCAGGGTGGAGGGACTGGATATGTCCGTCCCAACATAGGACATACTATCATACATCCATAGCGCTGGTGACAACATTTTAAGCTTGCATCTTGCAGTACTACAATACGAAACCATTCTAGTGCTATTATTCGTAAATCATCGCAACTATGCACTAGGGAGTTATATATATCCTTGAAATGGAGCCTATAGCTTCCAGGAATTAATGCAGAAGACGCAATGACCTCGATCAAACTAGACACCAACAGACGTACATCCATGCATGCAACGCATGGCGCGTCATTAAGGCTCGGCATAGAGATGGTCTGGCAGCCTGGGCTTGACGACGGCGAGGAGAGGGATCTTCCGTGGCATGGTGAGCCCGAAGATCTCCTCCATGCTCAGCTCGCCGGCGGTGACGCCGTCGGGGAGGCACCAGGAGAAGGCGTGCAGCAGGTTGGCGAGGGTGAGCTGGATGACCTTGAGACCGAGGTTGTACCCGGGGCACATCCTCCGGCCTGAGCTGAACGGCAACAGCTCGAAGTCGCGCCCCTTGACGTCGATACCGCTCCCCACGAACCGCTCCGGCCGGAACTGCTCAGGCGAGTCCCACACCGACGGGTCGCGGCCGATGGTCCACGTGTTGACGAGCACGCGCGTGCCAGCGGGGACGTCGTAGCCGGCGACGGAGGCATCCTCACGGGACATCCGGGGTACCAGCAGCGGCACCACCGGGTGCATACGCATCGTCTCCTTCATGATGGCGTGGATGTAGGGGAGGTGTGGTATGTCACCCTCCGTCACCAAGCGGCCGACGCCGACGATGGTGTCTAGCTCCTCGGTGGCCTTGGCGAGGATCGCCGGATTCTTCAGGACCTCCGACATGGCCCATTCCACGGTCACCGTACTGGTGTCCGCACCACCAGTGACAAGGTCCTGCGCAAGGCATATGCCAAATGGTGCACTGTATGAAAATGTCGTCCTAATACTTATATGAAAAAATAGAATAAAAATTAGACAATCTAAATTTACTATATTTATCAGAAAGAAAAGTCAAATTCGACATGCACATGAACAAAAAAAATATACCTGTGAACACGACTATGTTTTTTTTTCGTTTCAATTGTTTTTCTACGCATTAGTTGAATCTATAGAATCCTTATCCAGATTAGTAGTGCTGAGATATATCGAAAAAATTCAAATCGGGCGCCCGATTGATTCTTAAAAAATTTGACAGCCAAGCGTTTCAGACTTTCAGTTTACCATGGAAACATGGAGTTATAATGGTGAAAAAATTTCAGCCACTAAAACATTTAACTTTTTTGTGAAAAACAATGCAGACACGTTGAAATATGATGCTATCGCGTATGAAACATTCCATGTTAACATATTGAAACATATTTTTCTATTAGAATATAAACATGCGATATCTTGTTGTAAAAATTTAATTGCAAGGAATAAAATGTTGGGATCGGATCGTAGATTAGATAACTAGTTTAGTAGAAAAATCGTTTTGAATGTCACTAAATGCATGCAAGCGCTTGCATGGATGGAGCGGAGAGAGTACATACAGTTAGCTGCGTGAATTTTATTTAACACAGTGAACACACGTTGAGCCATGTCTCTATCACGTATGGAACATTAAGTTCTAATGGTTTCAAAGACAAGTTTTTCTTTTATCAGAATATAATTTATGATATCTTAAAGATTTAATTACAACGAATACAACAGAGCGATTGGATTATAGATCGGATAAGTAATTTAGAAGAAAAAAGTACTTAAAAGAGAGAAGAAAGGAAGGAGATAAATTAGCTAGCTGTTGTCTGTTCTGCCAGAGAGCGTCCGATTCTTATCCCGTGAATCGAGTGGCCAATTATAAGTATTCTCGAGATATATCGTATCATGTATTAGATTAACTTATTACAAAATAGAAGTTACAAAATAGAAGGAATGCACAAAATTTTACTTCCCAAGACATAAAATGGTGAGAAAACCTCGATATATATCAAATTGAATTACCTGGGTAATACCCTTGATACCATTCCTGGTAAGCTGAACGTCGAGGTTAGGGTCATCGGCGAGCTGCAAGAGAATGTCCACCATGTCCCTGGCCACAAAGCCATCCCCCTGTAGCCGCCGTCGCTCGTCGTGCTCGTCGAGGACACGGTCCAGGAACCGGTGTATCAACCTGTTCACATTCTTCATCCTCCTGATGTACCCCTGCAGGTCCAGCCAATCCAGCCATGGGATGAAGTCGCCGATGTTGAGCACGCCGTTCATCAGGAACAGCTCCTCCAGCATCCACTTGAACTCCTCCGGCGTCGTCATCGCCGCTCCGCCTCCTGCCGGCTGCTTCTCGACGTACTTCTTTCCGAGCACCATGCGCGAGATCACGCCGAGCGCCGCCATTGACAGGTGGTCTCTGAGCTGCACGGCGTTCCCCGCCGCGCCGGAGCCGTGCAGCTCGCGCAGCAGCGCGCGCACCTCCTCGTGGCGGATGTGCTCGAGCGACTCGAGCCGCCTGGCGCTGAAGAGCTCGGCGGCGCACATCTTGCGCGCCTGGCGCCAGTAGGCGCCGTAGGGCGACCAGGTGATGTCGGTGCAGTCGTAGGCGGTGTACTTGCCGGCGGCGGTCCTGGGGCGGTCGGCGAACACCGCGTCGTTGGTCTGGAGGAAGAGCTTGGCCATCTCGACGGAGGAGCCGACGACGACGGGGCAGGAGCCGAACCAGAGCTGCACGATGGGGCCATGGCGCTTGGATATCTCGTGGATGGAGCGGTGCGGCAGCGAGCTGATGAGGTTCAGGTTGCCGATGATCGGCCATGGCTTTGGTCCTGGTGGCAGCTTGTAAGCTCGGCGGCGGCGGAGCAGAACGGCCCGGAGGAGGAAGACGACGGTGGCAAGCACGACGGCAAAGAAAGTAGCCCATGATGATTGTAGTTCCATTACTTATTGGTGATTGCTGTTAATGGGTATATAGATCGATGTTAGGCAGCGCAATGAAAATATAAAAGGGTTAGAAGAAAACATATCACACAAACTTCACGTGCACACTTCGTGCACAGTTGCACAATAACTAGCAAATGCCACGAAAAATTCTATAAAAAATTGAATATTTACTCATAATAGTATTACACATATATGCAAAGTCTCATATTCAATAATTATGTTTTAACCGTAACAAAAAAATTGAAAACTTTGACAGGTAATAGTAAAATTCTATCAGGATTATATCCTTTTTAAGGCAAAAATATAATGGATTCGAAAATAAGATTTCACATGTAGGTGTAATATTATTTGAAGTATGTTTATAATATTATCTAAATTTTTTACGACATTTGCTAGTTGGTGTGCACAGAGTTTGCACGGAAAACTTGTGTGCATATAATATATTCCTTGGTTAGAAAGGGTTGTAGTACCTCCGTCTTAAAATAACTTCATTTTTCATTGATTTCACACACTCTAATAAAAAACATATGCCTTTTCACTTAATCAAACTCCAATGTAAATGTCCACTTTATCTAGCCATAATATATTTGTTCTTAACCTTTATGAAATCCAATACGTACAATAGTTGCTTAAAATATAAGCTTATTTTGATATAATTTACTCCCTCTGTCCCGTTTTAAGTGCAGCCATGATTTTTCGTGCCCAACTTTGATCGTCCGTCTTATTTAAAAAAATTTTGAAAAAAATTAAAAACATATGTCATGCATAAAGTATTATTTATAATTTATCATCTCATAACAATAAAAATACTAATTATAAAAAAAATGTAAATAAGATAAGCATTTAAAGTTGGACACGGAAACTCCTGGTTTCATTTAAAATGAGACGGATGGGGTAGATGCTAAAAATGGAGTTGTTTTGTGATGGAGAGAGTAAGTATTTAGGGGGATAGGAATTAAGTTGGGGATGGATTTTAATCCCTAAGGGGATGTCCCCTCGTATATATTTTTCTTCCAAATTCCAACCAAATACTTTAAAGAAAACCATTTGAAAAAAAAAATGACGTCGATGTATAATGGGAAAGGGGGTACACGCTTGGTCCATCCGTCCATGGAGACGTACGTAGGGGGACACGAAGCTAGGGCATCACCATCACTGGCCAGCTGCCAGCTGCCAGCTGCATGCGGCACATCCTGACCAACATGGCTTGGCCTTATATATTTCCCTTGTGTTTTCCTCATGTACACAGTACATTACTAGTCATTAAGCCGTGAAACAGTACTTTCCATTATTTGGCGTACTGGTAGAAAAACAAGGCTTCCATGGCATGCCCGATGATTCCCCTATACGATCCTTTTTTAAATCAAGGAAAAATTGCATCTATTCCCCCACTTTAAAAACCAATTGCTGTTTTACCCTCATTTTTTAGGGATTGTAGTTTTACCCTCACTTTTAAATCTGAACCAACCGTCTACCCTCACTTGTGATAACCGTTTGGTAGGTCCCACGTTTTGTGTTAAAGAATTGCAAAGGAAATAAAAAAAGGTTTTAGAAAATAAGAAATTACCTTTGTACCCTGAGGGAATGGATAAGGCATGGGTGAGTCTATCCTCCCACCCCCTACGTGCGCGCGAGGCGGCGAGGGCGAGGCGATGGCCGCGGGCGCGCGCGGGCGGGCGAGGCGGCGGCGGCAGCTGCGGTCGCGCGCGGAGGCAGCAGCCGCATCGCGTGCGGGCAGGTGAGGCGGCAAGGGCGCGCGGGCGGGCGAGGCGGCAAGGGCCCCGGGTGGGCGAGGCGGCTGCGGGCGCGCACGGAGGAGGAGGCCGCGGGAGGGCGAGGCGGCGGCTACGGATGCGCGCGGGTGGGCGAGGCGGCTGCGGGTGCGTGCGGAGGCGGCGGTGGCCGCGTCGAGGGCTGGCGAGGGAGAGCACGGCGCTGCGGGTGCGCTCCTACGGCTGCATCGGGTGTTCCTTGTCCTGTCCCTTGCTGCTACTCGCCGTCGAGGTCGCCGCCTACCTCCAATGGTGGCACCTCGAGGAGGTGGCATTGCTCCTCGCCGTTGACTGTCTCTTCGTCGCCTCCTATGCCGGGTGGATGCGCCTCCGCCTCGACTACCTCGCGCCGCCGCTGCAGTTCCTCACCAACGCATGCTCATGTACAAAAACATCAGAAGAGATGCAAATATTTGGTCGAAATGCTCATCACACAAGCGGAAATCACAAAATAGTGGCAAAATCACACAAAGCTGAAAAAAAGGGCAAAAATGCAATAACCACCAAGGGTATAAATGTCCTTTTTTTACAACTAACACCGTTAAAACCGGCTGTTAGGAGTGGGCTACACGGCTGATTCAGATTCAAAAAGTGGGGGTAAAACTGTAAACCCTAAAAACTGAGGGTAAAACAGCAATTGGCTGTGAAAGTGGGGCATAGGTGCAATTGCCCCTTAAATCAATTGAGCTGTCACATACATATGATTTGTGATGATGTAGTAAGAGATTTAATAAGACGTCCTATATCCGGACTATGCATGCCGCTGGGAAAAGCCATACCTCTCGCTGGAAGATCGAAGCCGATGCCCAACTTAAAGCAAAAACTCATCGAAAAAGTAGAAAAGTAAAAAAAGTTGGCATGTGCCGAGAGTATATTGAGCTATTGTTGTTTTTTTCTATAAGACCCTAGGCATGTATTTATACTTGTAGTACAAACTTGTTCATATTGAACACGACTCAAAATTCCCTAAGTTACAAAACACTTGGACAATCCCCTATGGCGGGCCCTTACCAAAATCTCTAACTAACATGACTCATAAATATTCCTAATTAATATATACAAATACCTGTAATGGATCTATCCTTGTATGGCAATTATTTCCAAGTCTTCCATACGAACCCAACTTAAACTCAAAAATATATGTATCGCCTAACCTACTTGTATCGGCTGGCTGAATCCGATTCTGTTTAGGCCAGTATACACTGGTGGAGAAACCCTTTGTAGTAGTCCCGGTTTGTAACCCCCTTTAGTCCCGGTTTCTAAACCGGGACTACCAATCCGGGACTAAAGATCGCTATCTTTAGTCCTGGGTGAAATATCCGGGACTAAAGATCGATCTTTAGTTCCGGTTGGTAATGGCTCAGCCACGTGGCCGGCTGAGCCATCTTTAGTCCCGGTTGGTGTTACCAACCGGGACTAAAGATAGAGCTGGCCTTTTTTTTTTTGCATGGCCCTGTTGCTGCATGGTTTATATATATATATATATAAACCATGCATATATATGTTTCAATACATATATATGCATATATATATATATATATATATATATATATTATTATATGTATATATGTTTCAGTACATATGTACATGCATAATATATATGTATTTATACATATATATATGTTATGCAAATGCATATGTATATATATATATATATATATATGACCAAAATATATTTACATTATAGAAAATGTTTACACATGCATATAGAAACATATGTAGTCATGTATTAATTACAATCCATTATATGTCCTAGCTAGCTACGATTTCGACGTAGTAGTAGTCACTAGCTCAGAAGCTAAGGACCTATGAATTGTGTTTCCGTCGTAGTAAAATTCACCCTTGGGATCAAGGATTTCTTCGTTGATGAATCCCATGAGTTGTTCTTGAACCGCCGCGATAAATTCCTTGTGTGTGGTCAGGTTATCCCTCATGCGAATAAACTATATGAATGTATGAAATTGATTAGTAATTAAACAAGAAATCGTTACGTAATGAAATTTTGAATTTATTTGTACGTACATCGAGCTCTCTTGTGGTGATGATTTGGTCTACAAGGCAGTGGCAATACTCGCACACGTAGTAGCCGCACAAGTTAGTTCCCTGCTTTTGCTTTGCGCACTACAAATAAATGACAAATTAACGGCGTGAGATCTAATTAATATACACTTGTATGTATTAATTTGAATCGGAGAAATATAAATGTAGAGCATGTTTACCCACAGGAAATTTGAACTTCCGCTTAAGTCTTTCTCTCCAGTTGCCGCGGACCAAATGACGGAACTGATACCAAGCCCTACATGGAGTTTAAAGATATGATTCATAGTAGCAATTAACATAACAAGAATTTCTTAATTAACAGAGGAACTTATAACAGTACCTGTCTATAAGTTCGAAAACCTTGTCAAACGTAGACTCTTTTTTATCCATTGAGTCATATACGTTGACGGTGCAGGCCGACAGGTCGAAGAGTAAAAGCACCCAGTGGAATCTGCAATGTGCGTGGGATGCATTACATATGAAACACTTAGCAAGTTCGTACAGGAATGAAATTTGGTATATAGGAAGATAGTAAAATTAAACTAACTCTGTGTTGTACGGCAACAGTATGAACGTCTTGTAATGCTGCGCCTGAAGGAGATGGACGAGATTGTCCTCTATGTCTTGCGGATATTGGTCGAGCATTGCGACGTTTACTTTCCGAGGGTCGATGAATCCAGTATCGAAAACCCTCCGCCGTCAGGCCCTTTGAATCTCCATTCTACAACGATAAAAGGGAGTATTTTATTTTATATAGTCTACTTATATACAAGGACCTAATTAATTAAAGGAGACGTAGTAATTAAGAAATCTAACTGAACGATATACTTACAAAATCCAGCAACTCATAATAGAGACGTCGAGGGCGTCCAGCTGGTATAGTTCGTAGATTCCCTTGAAATTGATCCAGAGAATGTCATCTCCTTGCAAGAAGTCCGGGTCCCTGATCCTCGCTCCGATCATCTCTCTACCGGTGGCGCTCATCTCCATGTACAGCTGATGGAACTTGTACATTTGTGTGGGTAGGGACTGCACCAGCTCGGGCTTGACAAGCGGTTTGCCGAGTTTGTACATGTATTTCACTTCCGCCTTTTCTATTGGTTCGACTCCTAGCAATTGATCCGTAGTTAGACCGGTGTCAGTAATAAATTCTTCTATCGTCATGTCTTCCCCGGTCACCAACGGCTCGATATCATGGTTTGGTTGCTCTCCAAG